CATTTATGGTTGAGTATAGTTCCAAAATGTGCAAAACTATCCACATGATGAATTCATTGTGACTGTGTACACAGGCTGTATGGATAGATAAGGTGGATGCAATTTAAATATGCCCAGTGAACAAATTCAAGATACTTTACATATATGTCATATTTTGTCTCTATGATCAGCTAATATATCCAAATTTTCTCTCATTATTTCAATCACCTGTGCTCCTACCCACAGGAAATTCTGGCTCTGAGACCAGAAGCTAAGGAGCTTTCTGAACTTGGAACATTAGGATCTCAATCTAGATTTGGCCAAGAGCCAAATGACTTTGAAATGGTTTTCTGCAGCCTGATCTTTGAGGCCTGGCTTCCAAGAAATAAAAACTTTCAGACCAGTAAGGTTTTCACTGATGAAGCTGAAAAGAATGGTGAATTTTATAGTAATCTGCTGCCACACTTCTACTGACAACTCTACTTTATTCATGAGGACTGACAATATTTACATGAAATAGTTCTTCATTGCATTAGTGTTTAAAAAAAACATTTGCTTTCAGGACAAGGAAGGATATACATATAGGGGCATTTCCAGCTTGTAAGACATTTTTCACTAATTCAGATGAGTCTTTAGGTATTTTTTAGGACTCTAGCTGACCCTGTTGGACCAGACGACCTTTAGAGGTCCCTTACAACCTTAAATGCATGCTGGGTAGGGAATGGATTGTGAGCAGTCCCAAGGAACTGGAATGGGTTGCCCAGGGAGGTTGTTGCTGCCCCATCCCTGGAGGTTTTTAAGGCCAGGTTGGATGAGGTTTTGAGCAACCTGATCTAGTGGTAGGGTTCTCTGCTTATGGCAGGTGGGTTGGAATTTAATGATCTTTAAGGTCCCTTCCAACCTTAATGAATCTATGATTCTTAAATATTCTGTGATTGTGTGATTTTATGTGTCATACAATCCCAAACTATTATGGCATGATTAAAAAAGAAAAAAAAAGACCAAGACAAAACACAGCAAACCAAAACAATGGCAGACCTTTGAATCTACCTACAAACTAAATCAAACTCAATAGATTATCCAACTCCACAGCAGATCTCCAGTTGTACAGATGTTTCAGGAAAGTATGAGCAAGTTCATTATGGTCACATTAACAGGGATGTTCATCTTTGTTATGCCTAAAACAGCTGTGTCTTCTGCTGAAGGAGTACTTGATGGAGTATTTCTGCCTAGTCTGATGCCAGCTAAGTCAGAAAGGGGAAGAAAATGTGGGAAAGTGGCTCTGAGGAGAGTGTGAGAGAATGACTGTGGGAAGATACCACTCGTCTGGGCAAAGCATTATGGAGTATAACAGTTGGGAGCAATCCAGCTTTGGCAAGGAGATCGATAACATGATCTAATAAGACTTTTCCATCTGTAATATCTCTGATTTGCAGCTGGAGAAATAATAAATACATATTTGATTTAGAACTGTTTTGTTCCAGTCTCACTTCTGTTTGGATTTTGTCATGTCTCCTTGGCTTATGTTTTCAGAGTCCTTTCTGAGGATGGGTTTCAGCTGTCTCACTCACAACTCCATCTATATCTTCCACTTTCATATGGGCACTTTGTAATCAAGGTCTTCATAGAAGGCAGAAACAAATCCTGCTAAGTCCTCCAGATGACTGGATCTAGATGTCTGTAGACAGATGGATTTGTGCTTTCTATTGAAAACTGCAAGGTGTGGATTTGCTATAGATCATGGTGACAGACTGACAGTGACAGGCAGAAACCTGGGCACTGGGGGCTGCAGGGACACTGACAACCTTAAGAGGTTTCTTGGACCTCATTTGCAGTACAGTCAACAGGCTGAATAACCTGGGGTAAAGTTCTACAAATTGTATGTCAAATCATTCTTTTCTGTGCCCCTGAAAACGTCCCCATCTCTTGCCAGCAGTTTTTTCATTGATGTATTTTTTTCCCAGTTAATAAACACACTGTTTTAATTCACATCATATGGCTTCGATGTGATCCTGCCTCAGGCCACATGTTCCATTGTGGGATATGCGGCTTTTGAAAAAACTACTAAATATTTTGCTGAGGAAAAAAAAAGAAGAAAACTAGCAATTAGAGGGATGGCTTGTGATTCAACCCAGACATAATTGAAACAACCCTAAAAGGTACCAGCAGAAGTTATAATGAAATGAATGATTAGAAAGCAGACACACACTAAGTAGACCTCCTCATAGCTTAAACTTCTGACAAACCATGACCAGCAGCATCTTTCCCTTCGTAAATGCTACATCCCAGGGGTCAGTTCTGGGCCTGATATTGATTAACAACTACATTAATAATTTGACCAATAGGAGAGAGTCTACCTGCAATAAATTTGCAGAGCCTACAAAACAAGGAGGAATGATTGTTCTACCAGACGGCTGTTCTGCCATTCAGAAGACAGGCTGGAGAAATTGGATGACAGGGATCTCATGAAGTTAAATGAAGGCACAGGCCAAGTCCTGCCCCAGAGGAGGAATAATCCCAGGCACCAGTACAGGCTGTAGCTTAACTGGCTGGAAAGCAACTCTGCAGAGGAGGAAACTGGGTCTTGCTGCATTAGGAAAAGCACATTAGCATACGGTGCAGCTTGGCAGACACCTTCTGTGGTCAAGGAAAGACTTGTAGGGACAGAATGTATCAGGGAAACTCATGAAGGACTGTTCTTTATTCTTGTGTTTCACCTGGATTATATTAGTGAAGAGTGAAGTATGGAAAGGAATTTTAGTGACTACCAGAGGCTTTAAAATGTTATCAAAGCAGACTATATGTGAAAATGAGTATGTTACAAATTTATTGCCACTTGAAAAGTTAAAAATGGATACAGGATAGGTTTTAATAATTCTTTTTGCCTCTTTTTTGCTTCCTCCCTGGTTCCTGTTCACATTTTATCTCTCAGTTCCATTTCATCTTCTTCCCCACCTCCTACTTTTTTTTGAGAGAGCACAGATACTGTCTTCATCTACCATTGTAACTGTCCTTTAAAGTCTTACTTGACTGGTAGCTCACAGTGGCACAGCAGTGAAGAAGGCAGATTATGTTTAATGATTTCATGGCAGTCAGAGGCCCCTGGGGAAAGTGACTTCTTAAGTTCATCCTCTAGGCAGCCTTAAGAGCTCTCATTCTAACCTAAAAGCTGTTTAGCTCTTATGAGGGTTAAAAGCTGTCCTCCCACCAAAGCATGATGGTAGGAGATACTGAGGTCACCTTATTGGGACAGTTTGACATCCCAGTAAGACTACACAACATATCAATCCAATGCTCAGACAGTTTTACTACTCAAGGAGTACTACTTGTGGTAGACAATTATAGAATTAGGGAAGGTTTTAAATTTTTTTTCAGAAGAGTGGTCCAGTTTAGGTGCATTAGCATGTGTTAAGAGAGAAAGGGAAGCATCAATTTGAGTCTGTGAATGCATATTTTTTAACTAAAAATTACACTGAAAGCTTAAGAATGTTTAAAATTTGCTCTACTATTAAAAAAATATTTAGAAATGACAGCAAACACTGTTAAGCCAAATTCTTTATTGAGTATTTATTTCAAAACAAAAGTATAAAAGAACATTAGATAACTCTTCTGAAACTTTGGTCTGCAGAATTAAAGCACTTTGAGCAAGTGTTTTTTTACTCCATGAGTAAATATTTTCCAACTTTTATTAATAAAGGTAAACAAATTTTATTAGTATAAAACTAGAGTTATAAAATTGACATAATTTACAGAAATCTCCACATTAGTATCAAATATTAGCAAAGCATGTTTTGCTATAAAAGCTTTCAGACCTAGCCTCATTTTTGTAAAACCTTTTCCTGTGCTGGTTTAACTGTTTGCATGCATTTTATTTATCCCTTCTATAATCCACCTTAATAATCAAAAGACACATATAAGGAAAAGTGGGAAAACACTTAAGAATCTCAGTATATGTATTGGTATAGTATTCCTTTAGTGGGAATGAGTTTTCTTATAAATAAATAAGTCAACACGATCTCAAGAATTATTTCAAGAAGCTCATAATATTTGCCTTTTTTTTTTCTTTCTTTCTTTTTTTTTTTTTTTTTTTTTTTTTTTAAGAGCTTCCATTAGCCATGTTACTAGAAGGCATTTGGATTTGGACCAGAGGTGGGTGCTGGTCTCTTCCCACAAGTAACTGGTGATAGAACACAAGGGAATGGCCTCAAGCTGTGACAGGGGAGGTTTAGAGTAGACGTTAGGAAGAACTTTTTCACTGAAGGGGTTGTCAGACATTGGAACAGGCTGCCCAGCAAGGTGGCTGAGTCACCACCTCTGGTTGCGTTTAAAAGTCTTCTAGATGTGTTGCTTGGGAATATGGCTTAGTGCTGGACTTGAAAAAGTGGGGTTAATGGTTGGATTCAATGAACTTAAAGGTCTTTTCCAACCAAATGATTCTACAATTCTATGATATGCAATGTAGAATAAACAAACAAGAAGATATATTCAATATAAGGCATATTTGTTTGTTTAGAAAAGGTAACTTTACTGTTGTCAATATGATATTAAACACATGCTGAATTTTGACTTACAGAGAGCATACAACACTACTGAACCAAAAATGCTATGTTAACATCTCATATTTCATTAGATTACTCTAAGTCACCTGAAGTGACATTTTTTTCTAAAACTTATCTAATTTAATTTATCTTTCTTAATTAGTGGAAATAATAATAATAAAAAAATACACTCTGTATTGTCCCTGCGTTTTTTGAATCCAATCCTGCAAACACTTACTAGCCAGCACAAGAAGAAATCCTGGTTCTACAGAAACTGATGGCCTTCAGCTGCTCCAGAATCCCACCCTGGATAGGGATTACTATGCAGAGCAGTTAAAGCACCCCCAATGAGCTACTTGTCCTCAGGAGCACTGTGCTAGCAGTGAGTATCTGCAGCTTCACATCTTTTTGTGGATTCATGGTTCAGTTTACATTATGTTATCAAAACAACATCATTTTCTAATGTTCTTATTTTTTTCCAAAACAGTTCCTCTTCCTCTCAAAGACCATACTGTTAATTTGTAATTCTGTGGATTCTATCTTGGAAAACTTTTAGCGATGAGCTAGTCTCGTCCTCCTTCTTGCTGTTCCCCCTGGGAAAAAAAGAGAAAAAAACCTCAAAATTATTACCTATAATTATACATAATATAGTTACATCATATACTATATTTATGTGTGAAAGAGACATGTGAAGAAAGATGAAGCCTGATGCTTAATCTTTCACCACTGTTCAGGCAGCTAAGAAAATTATACCAATCTGTCAGCTTCTTAACACATCAAAATAATGTAGCAACAGTGAGTGGAGATTCGCACAGTGCCCTTCTCACAGTGTTAGACTTCAGTCATATCTCACTCTGATGCCTTCATTCTAACCTGAAACATTGTTTGACCAAAGCACTTAATTGAAGTTGCTTTCAGATAGAAATATAGTAAGAAAAAACATCTAGAAACAGTGATTAGCAATACCAAGCTTTGCTAAAATGTCTTAAAAAAAAAAAAAAAAAGTATTAATACAACAGTTTCATTTCAAAATCAGTTTTCTTACGTTGTTTTTTTTTCTCCTCCTGACTTTTAACATAACTGAGAATAAAATCTGATAAATGTTTAAATGTATGTTTTGCTTTTACCTTGTGTCCTCCTGCTTGGTTGTGGTTTCCGTACAGGTGCTTCTAGAAAACAGAAATTTTGCAATCAGTAGGTATTTGTAAGAGCCTTTGAATTCAAACTCTTTAGTAATTTTGGAAATCCATTTCTGACTTGCATAATCTGTTTTTTAAGGTTTTCAGAAAATTATTTTTTTTGTCCCACTTGCTTGTAGGCTTGATCACCTGAAACATGAATGCTTATACTACAATTCACACATTCCTGTCATCTGCACACATCCGTCAGACCTTACCAACAATTCAAAAGTATTTTTACATTTTAAGTATATGAATTAATCTATTATTTACACTGTTCTCCTACAGATGTTTACATTATATAGGACATTTTATCCTCATTTTTCATTCAACAAACACCATCTGACACTGTCAGGGATGTACGAACTCAGGTAAATGTACAGCCAGGACCCAGTCTCAGCTTTTGTCAGGGGATGTCCAGGTCTGCTGTATAGATAATACCTCAGGAATTATTTATAAGTGATATGCCTGAAACTCAGCCACTGCAAGATGGTGGCCACGTTTCCAGCTGTGTTTGGGACTTAATATGTAACTGCATTATGAGTCCCCAGTATCATTCCATATTTAGACTTCAGTTAATTTTCTCAGAGATGTCTGTTTTTAAGAGAGTACAGCAAGGGCTATTGAACAGGTACCACACTCATTGGCAGATACATTTGTTTTCCAAAATACTGACTCAGTGAAACCATGGACATTTTTTCTCTTTCCAATCAAACCTTGAGATATTTTTATAAAGCAGATATCTCCTCTTTGGGAGGAATAACAATTAGCAAGCATAAGAGATAATTCTTCTCTTATTAGCATAGGAATGATACTGCATTTTTCTTTCTTTATAACTATGACATACTTGGGTCATTGCTTAAGCAGCTGAGTTGGTTGTCGTTTCACCCTGAGATAAAGGTTTCACCCAATTGCAGGTGAGGTTAAACACTGGGTATCTGCACCAATGTGATAGAAAATTTCAAGCTTTGTACTAGTCTGACAAGGATAAAACATGGTCCACCTATTGTATGCTTTCCGTACTTACATGCTGTCTACACAATTACACTTTCAGGTAAACCCCATGGTGGAAGATCATATCTATCTGTTACTTTCAGGTACTAGTTGACTTCCCTCCATGCCTTGTTCTACTCAACATTGAACTTACAGAAACACTATATGTTATAACTTTAGTATTTAGCAAAAACTTTAAAATCTAAAAAATAGATACTTATTTATTTAACTTCACTCCTCATAGGACATTTTTTTTTCTTATGAATTTAGTTCAAAGGCTGACATAATATCTTTTTCTGCATTATTAGAATCGGAACTGGAGAAGTACATACTTACAAATGCAAATACAAAAGAAATTCTAAACAACCTAATTCTTACCTTTTAATAGGAATCATTAGAAATGGACTGTTAGACTTGAAGAACAAATTCCTGGTATAAAGCCAGGGTGACTTTGTTTGGGTCCTTTAAGAGATTAATTTTGAACCTTGATACTGTTCAGCTTTTTCAAACCCAAGAGCTTCCCTCATTTAACAACTGAATAAGAATAGGGAAATTCCAAGGCCCGTGACATTTTTACTCAAGCCCAGAGGTACAACCCCTCCACCTTATCCCACCTTCACCAAGCCAAGAATCTGTCATATCAACATTAACATTGACAAGAAATAACCCAAGTTAAAAACAACTCACGTGGTCTTCTCCTGGATGTGCTGCTTAGAGAAAAGGCAATTCTTATGGTGCATGTTCTTTGAAATGTTCTACCTAAGCCTTGTGGTTAGACATTTCTTCTTGCCTAATATGCTTGCCAAATCTTTTAGTTACTTTTAGCCACAAGATAAACCTCAACATTTTTATCTGCAACATTAGTGAAATAAATATTTTCCAAAACAATTCTAAAACTCTTCTTGCTAAAACTCTGACTTCAGAACTAAGTGATTTTTGTGAATGGATACTACAAAACCCCAACTAGAATGATCACTTCAGGCAAAGCAGGTCTTAGTGACACTGGATTTTCAGATAAACTAACCTTCCAGATGGACTTTCTTGATTTCTCTCTCGATAATTTGTGGCTCTCCCTCAATTACTTTAGTAACCTTGGTGTACTCAGTTCCAGCTATGATAAGCATCAAAAACAAATCAGTTAAATCTGACATAGTATTTTTCCATATGCAAGGAGTCTTCAGTGGAATCAATGTCACTTTGGGGGTGGAGCTGTATACAGGCCATCATGTTATTCATGATCATGCTGGCTTCCTTGGTTATGCCACAGGTGATTCCTTCTCTAGGGCTAAGAGTCATTCCTTGCAATCTTGGCTTTAAGAATTTTTCTCAGCAAAGACTGCCAATAAGCAGTGCTGGATATTGTAGAATTACAGCCTATATGATGTGATTCGTTTATTTTAGACTACGGGAATACATCAGTTTGTGACTGGATTCACATTTAAGTGCTTGGGAAATTTTCAATAGAACAGAAGTAATTTGATGTAGGTAAAAAGGCCATAAAGCATGATCACCATTATCACAAACAGTCACAAAGCAGCATGTGTATCTGCTTTTATTGGCTACACTTATGGTAAGGTATTATTATGGCAGCCAAGGGTAGCTGGCTGGACAAATTGTGGAAAAGACAGAGAAAAATCAAATTACAACATGAGACAAATTTGCCTGGTTGGTTCATTCTGTAAAGCGGGATGCTTATGCAAACTAACATATAATAGCAAGGAAAGAAAGAAAGAATTCAAGAGACAATTTTGCATTTTCCGTATTTGCTACAGAGAAATTATTTGTCTCTTTTCCTATAGGATCGTTGCAAGATATATCTTTACAGATCATGTCTATTTAATTGCATACCTCTGTAACTGAAAATGATTACAGTCGTAATTGTTAGACTCTGGCATTAGACCTGTCACCAGAATTTTGAGCAGTTCTACAGATAAAGTTTGCTACTGCTTTTTATATCCTGGTTGAAACCAGTAAAACATCACCCAGGATATGGAGGGATTTTCTTGCTGTAGTTTCTTTCCTTTTCAACTTTATTTTTAAATACTTAACACTGAAATAGACATCTACAGAGAGCAAGTATTTCATATAGCTGGGGCACAGTATAGGATAAGATAAACCCTCTGAAAGTTCCTCTTTCTTTTTAATTATTATAGGCAAATCCTGGCTTAGATCTGTAAAACTAAAATTATATATTTAAAACACAAGAGACAGATACAGTCAACAGTATTCATTAGCCATACCTTGGCTTCTCTCTAAGACTAAGCTGTATTCTCAATTAGCTTGGTTTTGTTTGAAGGAAAGCTGTTTTCTGTGTTGTTCAGCCACCAATAGTTTTTTCACTCAACTGAAGTTTAAGTCATATCCACAGAACAGTGATTTTCAAGAACTATCAGATTTAGTTCAGTGAACACACAGCTAGCTGTGAGCTACTTCACTGGTATTCAAGTTTATAACTTACTAAAAAGTGAACAGAAAATGAAGTGGATTTAGTTAATTTATGGCAAGAGAAATATCCACACCTGTGTTTGAGCTTCTGAGTTAGGTTTACACCAACATTTACTAAAAACATAACACTTGAATTCTCTCTTTTTTTATTCACCATTGCTATTATAGATAGTTTTTCTAATCTACATTAAGCAGAGAACATTCCAAATTCATAGATAAGGATTAATTTCAAAAGCACAAGTTCTTTCACCAGTTTTCTACAGTTACTGGTTATACATTGCCAAAACTGTTAGAATTAAGAGAGAAAGAAGGAAAGAAAACCATTCCTTGGAATGCTACATTTGAAGAGAATTAAAGCTAATGCATTGATACCCATCACCTGTAAGCACTGGAAGAAGGATGTTAAACATGCCTTTAATTATTAACTTGAGGGCAATGAATATTCATTTCTGAAGAACCAATAAGTAGGACGAATTTGATCTATTACAGTACTTTCCACTTCATAAGTGTTTTTCACAGATTTAAACTTGCTGGGAAAAAAAAAAAAAGGATTTACAACTACTGGAATAAATCTTCATTGCTCCCCTGAGTTTTAATTAGATAACTTTTTAAAGACTGATTTTTTATTTTTTTTTTGTTATTATTATCAATATCATAATAAAGTCAGTTACACAAACTTTGGTACTTTCTGTTTCACAGACATCTGGCTCTTCATAAATGGCACTCTAGTTTTTTTCCCATTAGAATTACATTTCCACTTGGTCAGTCTTTAAAATGTTGAGATTAACATATTTGAGAGGGGTTTCAGTTATCATAACCTGTTGCAAAAAGGTTAGTTATAATACACTGAATTACCTCCCTGAAGAAGTCTTTTGATTTCTTCATCTTCAAGTAAATGACCATCACCTTCAATAAATTTGGTCACCTTGGTAACCTCTGATAGGATACAGGTTATCGCAAAAAAATCATGTATCGCAAAAAAATCATGTACAGAAAACATTTGACAATCCCATAACAGCATATTACTGTATTAATCCTCTCATAGCATTTTGCTGAATTAAAAAATTAATCTGTTAGGATATTTAATTCCATGTAAACACTGAAAAAAACATATTGCATGACAAACAAGCATCCTCAGCTCTTGAGCTGAGCGAAATGTGAAGATGAGAGACTCCAACCAGAATGTTAGATGTGGATATTTCTCAGTTTCTGAGGTTTAGTCTCTGGTATGAATTTGCAGTATGAGCACCTTTGCTGAGAACACACTGTATCCATTCAGTAATTACTTATGTAATGTAATCTTTAAAGGAAAGAAAGCAAGGATACTAACCTTCCTCAAGCAATTTCTTTAACTTTTCTTCATTGTCTGAACCACCTGCAGTAATTCTGGTATATTTTATTTCAGGACCTCAAAAAAAAATGTGTAAGACAGGGTATTTTAATGTGATATAAGAGGATTGCCTGTTAGTTATTTTTTTCCTATTTAACACTGGTTTTGCCTTTAACATGCCTTGACCTGCTTTTATAATAATTTTGACTTTCACTGTGTCCCAAATTAAACTGAGAAGTTTACAAATAGTATTTAGAAATATTCAGGAAAGTGCTTAGACAAATTTAACTTATTTATAGTAAATATCTGCTCACATCCTGAAAGTAAGACACAGTAAAAGCAGTCACATCCTGAAATAGTAAAAAGAAACTTTCAAAAGCAGACACGTTACAAATATACATTAAAAAATAATAATACAATTTTTCATTATTTTGCCTGATGTTAAAATATTGTTGCTGGTTCTGTATATGTGTGTGTAACACACACAGCCAGAATTTGAGCCATAAATAGGGAGTGGGAAGCATCAGGGGAAATTAATCTCTCCAGGAAATGCAGTTTAGGAATTAGGACAGAACTTAAGATATTTTTCTTTTGTATGTAATGCTTAACTTCACTAAGTATGGAGAGCTCAGCATGATTTACCTTGAATAATTATTTCTTCTGTTACTTTTTTCTCTGTCACTTCCACAGGTCTCCCATCAATTATTTTTGTGTATGTTTTAATAATTGGTTCTACAAGGATTTTCAAATTAAAGACATTAATAAAGTGAAGAACAGTGCTACAAGTGTTGTTTTTGACATGCTGAAAATTACTGAAGCACACAAGGAAATACTACAGCATATTTTATGAAAATTGAAACATTCAGAGGAGACCGGGAACTGTTTCCCCAGAAGTTAGGATGGCACCCTAGATGTGAATTTCTCAATGCCCCTAGAAAAGCAGAAGGCAGAGTTTACCTCTCTGTCTGATATAATTGTCTTTCTATCATAGAATCACTTACTGCATTTCTGATTGCAGGACAACAACCAGCAAATAATTCCCAGCTACAAGAGATGCTACCACAGAATGCAGAATATTTCTAACACTGTCTTGACTGTATCTATGGGATGTAGCTAGGCAAAACCCCCTGTTTTTTTAAAAGCATGAGAAGTGAGAATGAAATGATGCAATAAAATTGCAGCACTTCCAGAAGGTCTTCTTAGAAAAAACAAGAGTTGTCTAACATATCACATGAATCACCTATGTAAAGCAGAAACTGACTGGGAATAGTGAACATTTGAAATTTTAACTAATATAAATCGAGTTGCTGAAAGTATACCAACCTCCATGAATCACTTTTGTTATTGTCTCCCCTTCCCTGACTATTTTGAACTCAGGTTCCCCTTCAATTAATTTAGTAAGTTGTGTGATAGATGGGTCTGTGACATAGGAAAAAAACAACACATTACGAATAGTCATAAAGACATGTATGGCATTCCATGTAGCTGAGATGGAAATAGCATTATCCCTCCTGCCCTTAATAAATCAGATTAATGTAATGGAGGATTTTTGAAATCTGAGAAACCATTTGCAGCAATGTTGTACAATCTTGCACTTCATCCAATGCTATCTTAAATTTAGATCTTATTGCACACTTAATACTTAAAATTTATTGTTGTTGTGGTGGCTTTTTTTTTTTTTTCCTTTTGTGTATATTTTTAACATCTGTTGACAGTCTCAGACAAAAAACAGATCCTGAGGAGCTGAAAGGAAGTCTTTCTCTCTCTCTCTCTCTCTCTCTCTCTCTATATATATGCTAAGAAGCTTACTCTGTAGCATTATTGGACTCTTTTATAACTATTGCTTTACTAATGATCAGAGGTAAACTATTGTGTGAAAGCTTAGAAAAGAACTAGAGAGTGAAATGTTACTTCTTACTCATTGTACAGCTAGCAAAGGGGAAAACAGGTATTTTAATCATAATTCACTTATGTTGTTTTGAGGTTTTTTATTTGTTGTTTTGGGAATGTTTTTTAGGCTACCAGGATGAAGCCAGTGGTCACCCAGCTTAAAGAAAAAATGAAGTAAACTTCATAGACCAACTAAAACAATTTTAAGGATGTTTGTCAGCATTAAGGGCAATCATTCTTTGAGTTGCATGGGAGATGTCACCTCGACTTCAATGGCCAAAGGAAACTTCTTAATTTTGTGTAAGCCCTATAGAACACAATAATCAAAAACAAAGGCAAAGCCATAGTTTGCTATACTGCCTAGTCTAGGATCAGTCCTTTGATTGTGTTTCAAACAGGTTTAACTCTTTATATCCCTTTAACTTGCCTGTGTATGGACAATGGAAGTACAATTCAAGCAGAAAACATTGAGGCAGGAAAGGGCAGACATCCCCCTCCAAACCTGGGGGTAGCAGTGGTTTTTCTTTTTTTTAAATTGAAATCACAATCTGCCAGAACTTCCTGACATATATTGTAAAAAGGAATCTGCAACTTTACCAGCTTTTTTTCTATAGAAAATGGTGGATTTATGTGGTTTTGATGGGAGCTGCTGCTTGCTACTGTTACTACTAGCAAACTGAAAAGGGTCAGAATTGTCTATACTTGGTCTGTTTCTGAATCATCAGACTGTGTTGACCAGAAGTTATTCCCTGGAAGGTGTCCCAAAGCATAAACACTGTACTGGCAATAGAATGGGGTAACTCTTCAATACGCACTAACCCACAAAGTTATTTTTCTCTCTCTGGGAGTAACATTTAGTCGTACATTTGACTATAGAAATACTCAGATATTTCATTTTTTCTTTGAGAGTTTTGTTTCAGTTAACTTTTAACTTCTAAACATCATGTAAAACATCTAAACTACACATCCTGCCTCTGGATTTAACAGAAAAAAAGGTACTTTCAGAGAGTGATCCACCTTTTTCATAGGAAGATTTCTAAAATATCTTGGATGAATTACCATACAGGAACTTTCATCCATTTACATGGCTCTGTGGATCTGATTTCATGATGGAGACTGAGCAACAAAGATTGGCATGTATTCTAGATGGTGTCTAATCCTAAATGGGATGTGCAGACAAGCTGCTGAAAAAAAGCAAGATGTCACTTCTGCTGGGAGGAAGTCCTCCCAGAAACAATTGTTAAACAGTCTGGATAAAATTTTTGCAAGACACATTAAACAGTCATTCTCCTCAGATGAGCTCAACCAGACTCATTGACAGTATTTTTATTTCAATAAGAAACTGGAGCTCATTAACATTGTATCTGATCTAGTGAAACCAATGAATGGCTCAGTCAAGTTATAAACCACAAGTGATTTTAACAGTCCTAGCCCCATTTTCTGTTCTCTTCAGTCCCACCACTAATCTTTAACTCATACTTTCACCTCAATAAACCAAAAAAGCATGTTTTGCTAACCATCCTTTCTAGGCATCCAACAGATATTGATATTTAGAACTGACTGAAAACTAAAGAAAAATGATCAGATTTTTTTTTCTTCAAATTGCATGAAAAAAATCTGCTTCATTTTTCAGTAATAATGGTTTTGATTTTAAAAGGGATATTTTTTTAATTGACAGTAATATTTGGGGCACTTAAAACAAGTTTTTTTTAAAAAAAGTTTATTTTAAAATGTTTTTAAAGCCCATACTAAAAGGAGAACATCCATTTAGGATGAACAACAATGGGAAAATTTTAATACAAAATATTTCAGCCAGTTCTAATTACAATATTTGTATCTTTGCTCTTCCAGCAAAGTGCTGAATGTCCTGGAGTTATTATGTATAAAATGCATCCTGTTAAATATATACAATATATATTCTGTATATGCATATAAACATATACAGAAATATATATAGTAAGGGCCTCATTTACCTTCCTTTCTGATGATGGGCTGGACGTTGCTTTCAATTATATTAATTTCTGAAAGTATAGAAAGTGGAATATAAAGCACATTCCATTTGTACAGTTTCTTTATGGTAGTGATAAGTTAGATTTGGTCTGGACATAGAAACATGGATGAAATCGCAGATTGTAATGAATGGAGAAGTAACTCAAAAGTATCCAGAGTTTGGATTTCAGTTCTAGCTACTAAATGTTGGTGTATACAAGTGATCTACAGATAGAATCTGCTGGTATGCCTTTGTGAGTTATGAAACTCATATGGAACTCATATGAAACTCACTCATGGTCATGAAACCCATGATAATGTAAGGTGCATAGTAATAATGGCTCATTCAATTCCCTCCTTAAAGATTTATACAATTTCCTGAAGTATCTTAAATTCAAACTTTGCTTTTTTCATTGGGCAGCTGACCTGGTAAACAGAGAAAACCCTCTGACATTCAGAACTATTCTTGCACTTGATAGAACACCATGGAGCAGGCAACTATGGTGACTTTGGGAGATCAAGTTGTTGTTCTACACCTAAGACAGACTCAAGTATTCATTGAACATCTCTGATAGATCATTATCTGTCTTATATCCATTAACTGGTAGAAAAGCCTTCACTGATAGAAGTTTCAGCCTTCCTGTTCCTGCATTCAACTAAATCAACAGTTAGAACTTTCTTGATGACAGACATTGGCTTCCCTGGGAAGCTTTGTTCTAGAGACTGACCAGCCTCTCAGTAAAGAACCTTTTCCCAATATCCAATATGAACTTCCCTTGACACAGACTCAGTTGTAGCCTGTGGTGAGGTCACCCCTCAGCCTTTTCCATTCTAAGTTGAAAAAACACTAGTGACCTCAGCTGCTCCTCATAAGTCTTACCCTTAAAAACTTTCACCATTTTGGCTGCAGTCCCCTGGACACAGTCAAATAATTGTATGTCCTTCTTGTATTAAGGCACCCAAAACTGCACACAGTACTCGAGGTAGGACTGCAACAGGGCAGGGTAGAGTAGGACAACTACCTGTCTGGACCACCTAGCTGTGCTGTGCCTTATGCACCCCAGAACACGTTTGGCCCTCTTGACTGCCAAGGCACTTTGTTGACTTATATTCACTTGGCCATCAACTTAGATTGTTAAGTTTTTTGGAGTATTTTAACTTCAGTGTGTTCATTCTGTTTTCAAAAGCTGAATGTGTTCAGACTCCATTTCTGCTGAGAAATGTGGGTAGAATCCTATAGAAATTAAATAATCTGCCTAAATACATATTCTCACAAGCCAAAGCTTCAACAGGATCTTCTGACAGCTTTGATAGGATCTACTTTATATGCAGAAACTAAATGCAAACCCTGAGAAAGGTTACAAGGGAGCAAAAAAAGATCCCTTTTTTGATATTTACCCCCTAGAGAGAAAATGGTCAGAAGAAGTGCCTCCCATACAAGCCACATATTTGCATGTATGGGAAACAGGTAGAACAGGTACATTTTGTTCCTCTGTGAGTACTTATAAAAACAAAAATGCATCTCAGTGCAGAGTTTTAACGATGCTACATCTTGTAGAGAGAAGCAGTACAACTCTGCAATACACCAAGCACTGAACTTTGGCTAAAACCAGAAAAACAATCTTTTCCGTATGTATCTTGCCTACCCTAAAGAATCTGAACAGCTTACACCAGGGTTACTTCCCTGTCACATATCTGGAAAGGGAAAAAAGTACATACAGTAACACAAAAGCCAGAAACATTCTACTGTGAGTTTCTCTTCCTGTTCTTCATTGGCATATCTTACTTTCCAAGAAACTGCTCTCTTTTTGATTGAAAACAAGATCTACATTCAAGATGCGAATTGGCAGTCTTTAAAAAACAATCTCAAACCCATCTGGAAGTACTTAAAATGAACTTACTGTAAAATGTCAGTGGAATCTCTTGGAAGGTACTGTCACGAACAAACTATAAATACAGAAAAGCAATGTTAAAATTTAAAAGAGCCCTTGCTATCTCATTTCCTAATGAGTGTGGGTAGGATTCATTGCTTCACTGATCTAAAAGTGAGGCTACATATTTGCCTAGGTCCTCTCATTTGTTGTTGAGGTAGAATGTAGTCTCAAGAGGATAGGTAAGATAGATAAGGAAGCATATTTTTCTCCAGAGGCTATTGAGGCTGGTAGGTTTAATGACATTGCAATTTCTTTCAAAGAGGGATTGCCTCAAGGATTTTAAAGTTTATTTTGCTGGAGTGATAAAGTGTACCTGAATCAAAGAGTAAATTTTGGCCTGTTCACATTGGAGGTGTCCAAATGCAAGTATTCTACAATTATTTGCTGCTGAAAAACATAAATTCTAACTGTGGAGCACAGTGTATCATTCATTATTGTATTTGGGTAACTGGAAGCTATTGAACGTGTTCCCTGCTGAGGAAATAGGAGGACCAGATAATAACTTATGAATTATAGTGTTCATAGTTTCACATATCCTGTCAAAAAGATGAAGGAATAATGATTTAAGGAGTACCTTAATTTGAATGTACTTAATCAGCTTCTTCAGGATTGTGAGTAACTGATCATTTCCAACAGGCAGATCTGACAAAAGAAATAGGTATGTAAGAAAAACATACATCTGTGTTCATTTCACTTTTATTTACAGTGACCACTCTCAAACACTCACACAAATGTCTACTTGAACATATGCAATCTTCCATGTTAGTGAAAAAGCCTATGGCATCTTGTCTTCCACTTCACTTACATAAAATTTCAAAGAGTTGCCATAGTTTCAAGCTCAAAATGAGTAGTGAGGTAAATTTTCTGTTTCTTATTCCACATAGAAATTGTCTCTTTAAAGGAATTAGCTTTTAAAGTTATTATATCTACAGAATACATAAAGAGATTCAGAAGAGTGTGTATACAATCCATAAACTAATACCTGCTGGATACAGGAGTTTATCAATAACATGAATGACGCCATTGGTTGCCATAATATCAGGTTCTCTTGATTTCAGTTCATTAACCAGAAGAGTATCATTCACCTGGCAAAAGATGAAAAGAGAACAAGAGTTATCAGGGCCATTAAAAAAGAAAGCCAAAACCCTAATTCAATGTTCAGAGAAATACATCCCATTTTGTAACGTCGATAGACATGGAATGTCAAATCCCTGTTACAAGGCTGTATCAGAGACACATCTTTTTCAACACTTAACTGTTTTCAAGTAGAGTTTCCCTCCTTGGATAGTTTTAAGTATGTTTGTCACACCAGGCTCAAAGCCACTTCCAATGAAAACACCTTGCGTCAAGTGGTAAAGGAGAATGTTTCTGAGAGCATTTTTGTCTCCTATTTAATAAGAAGAGAAAAGTAAGAGTAAAAATTAAGTGGTAATGCATAGTTCTTTCTGGAAATTCTAAGAATTCACACAGGCTTGAGCCAGAATTTGGCACAGTATGAAAGAGACTACCATAAACATTTACAATCTGAATATTTTTAAATTATGACAAAAGGAAAAAAAAAAATAGTTGTATGACAAAAAGGCACTCAGAACATAATCATAAAGATGCTGTGAGAACTCCAATACAGAAGAACAGAAAACTGGCCAGCATTTTCCTATTTTTCTGTGTTATTTTCTCTTATTTGCTTGCATCCCCTATTGGAGATTTTTGCCTTTTTCTTAAATATGCTCCACAAATAATTTGCAAACACAGTAATTTCAGGAGCATTAAGCCATTCGCTTGTCAAAATTTCAATAAACTAAATTTGACTGAACACTGTTGCAATTAAAGGGAACCATAACCAACAATAAAGATCATTATTCTCTTGTGACAATGCCTTTCTGAGACAACTAGGGAAAACTCTTAACTCACATCTTTTGCCATCTGGGGTCACAGAAAGTTGCTGTTTATTTAATATAGAAAATAAGGAGTTATCTGGAGTGTTGGTTTTGCTTGAATACAGATGCAGGTTGGAGAAGTTGGGGAAGGGGAAAAAAATCCTATTCAAGGGATGATTTCCATATTTCAAAGCTGGAGATTCCTGTTTGGGTGGAAAAAACCCAACAAAACCAACCAACCAAAACCAAAAATGAAAACAAAACAAAACAAACAGCTGCCATGAAAATTAAATGGATTCTGGAGTCTAAGTTAGTGTCCTGACCAGGTGCTCTGGGTCCATGGAGGTTTAGAGTCATAGGATAGGTTGTAGGAATACTCTTGAACTGCCCAGCATTTCTAAAACACATCTACTATCTACTTGCCACTACATGGAATACTGAACATTCTATTAACAGTTTTAAACTAATGTTACACTCTGATATTGATTGCTATCAGAAGTTTCAACCTTGATGAAACTGTAATGGAAATACTGTCCAGTTATGATTTTTTCCTTGTGTCTTATTCAGTGAACATTTTCCTTTTTCTGCTTTTTGCTTTGGTCACAGATATTACTGCAATTTACAACTGAAATGTAATTAAATGCTCTTTCTCTTCCTACTAAAACTAGCACTGAGATTTTGTGTAGCATTGGTACATGCAGAGACTCAACAGGGTCATTCTAAAGCTGTTTTCATGAACTATCAGATCACTTTTGTTCTATGCCACATTGGTAACTGGAAAAAATAATTCTTGTTTTATGTCTTTCTTACAGATAAACAAGTTATTTCTTCAAATTCCTTTAAAAAAAATACATACTTAAAGGTTTAATTTTTATGGAGAAAACAAGATAATATCTTTAAAGTGAGACTAGGCAGAATTCCAGAAAGTAATCTGACATAATATGAACATTCTGCTGCAAAAAAAAAATAATAAAAGTGAGGCTAAATTAAAAACTCCTCTGCCAGGCAAAGTAAACAGAAACTGAGTCACAATTATAAAAACTGCTACGTGCAGCCCTTTGAAAAGCAGAATAGGAAATACAGTTTTATTCTTAACTATAGAAATATTCCAAAAAGGTATGGAACTCGGATACAATGTCATTGTGAATTGAAGACAAAAACAACAGATAAACTCAATCTTACTTAATAAAGCAACTATATACTCCAATAAAAAACAGAACAATGGTGTTTATCCACTTGTTTCAGTTCACAGCCTTGAAACAAGCTTAGTTTCATTTTATGGTTATCTAATCTTAGCCACTTAGACGATCTGTTAATTTATTGTTAATTTATTATTACTTTAAATGGCTGAAGACATAATTCAAATTCACAGTGCCTCTTTAGTGAGTTCAAGGCTGAACAGAGCTGGAGTTGCTGCTTATCAATGCTCTGAGAAGGACTCTGAATTCACTAAGGATTCATGGGATTTGGTTTCATGTCTTCAAACTGTGATCAGAAAAGAGCAGGAAAAGAAAATGTGACTGACCTTCTGGTCAATAACTCATCCCACACTTGTGCACAGGCCAGATTCACATTACTCTAAAATAAACTAAAAATCCTTATAGTACTGTGACCAATCTACCCCTCTGGTGGGAAATTCTGTAGGAGATTTGAAGTATTCTCTCTGCATTTCCTCTCTTATTGAAATAACACATGACATTTTAGAAACTACTTTTAAATCTTGTGAAAAATCTATATAATTAAACATTTGAAAGTGTAAAATGGAAAAAAAATATCTTTGCATTTAGCAATATATATTCAATATTTAACTTGTAGAGAACAGGTGGTATCAGAGATCACTAGGTAGAGGCATAGAAGAGAAAGGAAAAGAAAGTCAATACTATGTATCTTCTAATGCAATTGTCATAAGTAGAAAAGAAATGTGATAGGAGACTTTTCCATTTTAAAAATCTATGTCAAGGTTGAATGATGAAAATTTGAAGCTAATTAAATTAATGAAGATTTAATTTGGAAGTTTATTATACTTTGGAATAATATATAGACTATTGAAATTTTAATTTAAATTGAGGCTGGATGCTTTTATCCAAAAGTTATTTTCTCTATTCCCCAAGAAAGAATTAGTTTAGGAAAGTCCTATGACCTGCTCTATGCAGAAGGGATAATGTTTTATCAGATATCTTTTGTGGAAGTAATACATTAGCCACATTTCCCATCCATTTTGCTTTTGTTTTTATTTCTTGTTTTCTTATGTTACTTACTTATCAATATTTCCTTATCATCATCAGTTAAACCTTTAAAGGCATCATTAGTTGGAACAAACAGGGTCCATTCTCCAGGCCGTGACAGAACGTCATCTAAATCTGCAGCTTTCACCAGGCTGAGGAAAACGCTGTTTGCAACAGATAAAACACAAATACACTGTCTTGAAGTGTAGTAACTGTACTTGGGTGCAGGCACTTAGTTTCCCCATTTTTTTTTCTGATAGTGCATCAATCTTTAAACACTCACTATTTCCCAGTGTCCTGGCAGACCTGGGTCAAACTGTGACACCCAGATATAAGACTGTGGAGGAGGGAAACAAGAAAGGAAAAAAAAAACAAACAACAAACCAGACAGGTGTAAGAGTAGCAGACTGAAGAAAAAAGGATTTTAAAAGGATTTGAGAAAAAAAAAAAATAATACTGGCAGGCTAGATCAGAGCAGAATTCATTCAATAGAAACCCCACAGATCAAAAAGATGAACAACAAGGTGTGGAGGAGGGAAACAAGAAAGGAAAAAAAAAACAAACAACAAACCAGACAGGTGTAAGAGTAGCAGACTGAAGAAAAAAGGATTTTAAAAGGATTTGAGAAAAAAAAAAAATAATACTGGCAGGCTAGATCAGAGCAGAATTCATTCAATAGAAACCCCACAGATCAAAAAGATGAAGGGAGGACAACAAGGTTAGTTGCTCTCTCTAGATATATTTAGATACTTGCAGGAAGGGGACAGAAATATGTACTGCATGCAATCATGCTGCAACCATACAGAATTGTACTGCTCCTTAATTAAACCTCCAGACTCTGCTGCATTCATGGCTTTGAACGTATCATCCAATTCCTTTTGTCCTCTCACCCCCCTCATTCATGGTGTGTTACAGACCACTATGTGCCAGAAACAACCATTTCAGCATAGTCTGGGAGTCCTTTCAGCATACGTCTGGAGAAGAACACTATTTCAAGGTAATAACCCCTTCCCTGCACTCTAACAACTCACACTCCACAACTATTTCTCAGATCAGCTGTGCTGGATATACAGTTAGTTACCTTCTGCAGGCAAAATCTCAGTGATGTCAAAACTGCTACTCACCTAAAACGCTTATCATTTCTCAGCATTTCATGTAATGTCTTTTCTGCTGGATTGATGATCTGTCTGAAGACATGAATAAAACCATTCCTTCCTTCTTTACTTCCTCTGACCATGCATGAATTTTCAACACATACAGCCTGATTGAAAGAGAAGCAACAGTAACTATTAACATAATGATACACATTTAAGTATACTTGGTACAATTAAAGAGATGTATGCTTCTCAGCAGGCTCACAAATTTTAAAAGAATATTAATATTTGTTTCCTACAGTGAAATTTCTTGTTCTTGCCAGGAAATCTGGTATTGCTTGAGAAAGCAAAAGTAGCAAAATGTGGAGTTAGTTAATATAGTGTAACTCTTTCCAAACTTGATTATTTTGTTTCCTTTGAGAATGTCCTTAATTAGTTCTAAAAACTAGCCTTAAAAAAATGCAATTAATGGAGTGCCAAATATGGAATCCTGTTTTATTTTGCCAAATAAATGTTTCCATGCAAACAAAGTTCCCATCAATAAAGATCAGGTTTGCATTTTTTTCCCAACCTTAAAACCTTGAAGATTTTTGCTAGATAGTTGTAATGGTAAGTGTTGGGGGTTTCATTCAGCTTTATCTCTTTGTTGTTTCCTGATTCTTAATTTTAATAGTTGAGATACATATTGTTAGAAAGACCTGTTCACTTACTGTGCGATATACAAAGACCCGGAGCACTTTTCCTCCAATTGTCTCCAGTTGTTGCCCATTGTACAGTTCATTGAGTCCAACTTTCACTTTTATAATGTGATTCTGAAGGATCATTTTAAGAAGCCGTTGGTCCATCTTTAAGGTATCATCTACAAAGCCATTTAGATATTCATATGCAGTGATTTATACAGTGAATTTTCATTCAAATAAGGTTAACTGAGGACACTATATTAAAAGACCATGGAAATACTGAATATTTTTTTAAATGCTCAAGCTAAGGCCTGGACAGATAAAATAAATTGTTAAATAGTTTCTGCAAATTGCCATTTCTTAAATTGAGTCATAATTTTTTTACATAGTCCTGATTAGTTGCTATAAGTAATATGGCAGATGATTAATATGTGGGCCTGCTTCCCCTTCTGAATGACTGCTGAAGTTCGTATTGCAACTTTTTCGCTCTTCATTAACAATTCTACTTTCCCACAATCTGTCTCTGGGGTTTTGTATGTTATTTTAGTTATATTATTTCCATTAGCAAATTATACCACTAAAAATAAGCTGTGCAGCCTGGTGATTAGGTTGTTTTTTCTTTCTGCATGGTGTGTATTTTGAAAGGATGGTATCTATTTCTCTATGGCTTTCTTGGGACTTAGAATAAGAACACTGTATCTTATTTCAAAATTGTTAGGGTTGCATATATTGTTTATTTTGACATACAGAGCATAAACTTTTAAGGCTACTAACCTGAGAAAGCACCATTCAGAGGTGCCAAGAGAGTGTATTGGCCTTCCGGTCTTAGAGAAGATGCGAGTCCTAGTTGTACCACCAGGTCTGTAAAAGTAGCCTGTTGGTCACCCCCAAGCTCAATGACTTCCTTGGCTGCAAATAAAGGAATTAGACAAGGTATTTTAACACGATTTATTGCCTTTCCTGACTTTGATTTTCCATGCTTATCCATAACAGTAACTCTGAAGGAATCTAGGCAAGATTGTAGAAAACACTTCCAGTGACAGAAGTTTTTCGTACACATCACTGACCAGAATCAGGAATTAGCACTCGATCAATGAGGTGGATAACACCATTGCTTGTCACAATATCTTTGCGTTTCACCATCTTCACTCCATTCACAGTCAGACTTTCACCATTACAACCAACTTCAACCGTGTTTCCTTCCAAGGTTTCATAGACAGCTCCACCTGTGATAGCTTCAGAGCACTGGAGAGTATTTAAAATATGGAACTTCACAAGAGCTGTGGAGAAAATGAAGGAAGTTCATATGTAAGTGTTTGGACACATATGTATTTATATATAAAAAATTTATGCACAGACAGGGATAAATTATTACATTTACATTATTTTTAAAAGTTTGCTAGCTTATCTAGCATATTTGATTATTTGCTTTCATCATTTTTTTTAAAAATTGAAAGTTACTGATATGAAAATTGATACTATTGGCCTCTAAACAATATCTGTGGCCAAAAATCCTTCACGTGCCTTATATTATGAAAACTATTCTGGTTTAGCTGTGATCTCTATGTAACAAAGTATACAACTCAGTGAGTGCAGATGGTATGCTCCAAATGGACCTCTGAGTACAAAACTCTACAGACTGTGCAAAGTCAGCCCCAGAATTATACTTTGTTATGTCTTATACAAGCAAGACTCAGTTTACTAACTTCTGTGGGAACCTAAGTAATCAGCCAATAATTTCTATAAGCACACTGAAAGAAATAATAAAAGAGCCATACAAAAGATGCTTATTTCAAAATTCCACTTTTAGTCATTGTCTCACATTAAAATTAACCCAGATCCCTCTTTTCACCGTTCTGCATTGAGATACTGCACAGTGACTTGATCAGGCTATAATGAAATAATGGAGACCTTGTTTAGTACAGCAGAGCTCATAAATGAGAATAGAAGCATGGCCTTCCATTTTTTAGTGGGCCACTACATTACTGTTCACATAACTGACTGATTCAGTTATTATTTAGTTTTATTGTAGTTCTTAGAAGAATAAGCTTGCTGACTGTTACAGTTTGTCAGAATATATATTATGAATTCAGTTCAGCATGAGGGGTAGAATTTGCCTTCTACAAGAATATGTCCTTTCTGTAAGAAAAAGCTGTTAATGAGAAAGCCATGACAGAAACCCACATTCAGACACCCCTGCATTTCTAGATACAGGAGACTCTATTGGAACTATGCAGCTGAAGTATTGAAAACATCAATGTGCCTATATTTTCATAGTCCTTTAAACTTTTTTGGAAATGAAGTTGTAGTTTAATCTGAATCCTTAGGTAACTGGAAAAATCAGAAACAGAAGAAAGAATTCCTCCTGTATATATGAAAGTACAGGTGTTGAACTTCAGAGCTACCAGGATAATGTAGTTTCTACCTTCTGATGTATTTGCCTGTATTCTCATTTGCAAAAAAAGGTTGCATACCTTCAGAAGCCACCTTGTCAGCCATGATCCTTTCTAAGACTCCCCTTGGAAGATTCTCAAAAGCATCATTAGTAGGAGCAAAGAGTGTGAAATGACCAGGCTTTCCAAGAATATCCAAGACATCTGATGTGATAGCAGCAGCCTAGAAGATGTATTTTTTTTTTAATGCTGGTTATTTAAAATATTATCAAAATATATTAGCTGTCTAATTTCACCTGGTGCCCACAGATACTTTAATTCTATGCTGAGATAAGTTTTATAGAAAGCTGGGTTAAAAAAGAATTGACAAAAAGGAGTAGAAAATTAATTTTGTATTAAAAATGTGTCTTGTTAATACTGAGTTACCTCCTTAACTCAGCAGACAGTAATCCATACATTTTGATAGACGTGGCAACAGGGCAGATTTTCTTATTATTATAGCTTGAATTTTTAAATTAAAAATGTGAACATACATTTTTTGACAAATTAGATCCAAGCAATAGTTTATCAAAGCTAGTAATTTGCCCCTGAAATAATAAAAATGTGTTACAAGTATATGAGTAATTTGATTAAGTACAAGGAGGAGGTTTTGAATCATAACAGGAGGCTGAAGAGTGATGTCATTGCTCTCTACAGCTTCCTAAGTGGAGAGGGAGGTACTGAGCTCTTCTGCCTGGTATTCAGTGACAGGATTCATGGGCATGGCCCAAAGCTGAGTCAGGGGATATTCAGACGACATTAGGAAATGTTCTTTTACAGAGAGGGTGATTAAACAATGGAACAGGCTTCCCAGAGAGGTGGTCAGTGTCCCACACTTGACAGTGTTTAAGAGGTATTTGAACAATGCCCATAACATGCTTTTACTTTTAGTGAGCCCTGAAGTGGTCAGACAGTTGAATTAGATGATCATTGTAGGTCCCTTCCAAGTGAACTATTCTATTATGTTCTGTACTATTCTATACTGTTCTAGCATATCTAGCACTAGACACATTTTAGTATCATAGAATAGTTTTGGTTAGAAGGGGTCTTTAAAGTTCATTTAGTCCAACACCCTCAGCAATGACCAGATGAGAATTCAATCAGATTAGGATGCTCAGAGCCCCCTCCAGCCTGTCCTTGAATCTTTCCAGGAGTGGAGCATCTACCATTTATGCTTACATTTTTCACTACCTCAGTGCTTGAAAGCAAAACCTTTTTTTTTTTTTTTTTTTATGTACAAGGTTATATTCTCTCCTGTTTATGTAGGACATTTGATCCACAAAAAGGCAAAACAGACATGTAAAATATACTTTGCCTTTTATATGTTTGCAACATTAGCTGGACTTCTTAGTTTAATTTATTCTGTCTTCTACTGAATTAAATCTTGTTTTTCCAGGTTTCATGCACAAATAGAAAAGAAAGCAGAAAAAACCTAAGAGACTAGAGAAACTTTTTAATTTGTGTTCACTTACTCTAAGAGATGAAAGATCATCCTCAGCTTCAATAAAATCTTGAATAGTGTTTCCAACAGCAGTCAGGACACGATCAATGACATGAACAACTCCATTGGTAGCAATCTGGTTGCCATGGATGATCCTGGCACAGTTAACAGTAACAACCTGCATTTAAAGAATCAAGCATTAAGAAGATTAATCATTAATTTTATCATATGCTTCTTACAGATTGGCAATGTATGTGCTGTACATTATATATTCACTGTTGTTCCAGTTTTTATTTTAAAATTTAAATAAAACATTTTAAGATTCAAAAGGCTGACTAAACTTCTGGAAAGACAGAAGCAGATTTATTCAGGCTAGATTGATTTAATTTTAATGGGTTTTTTGTTACTGCAATAATTCAGATTTGTTTTCCATATCTGGTTCATATAGTGATTGTCTTGGGATTTACTGGTGTAAACTGTCCAATATAAACATTTCCAAGCATTTAAGGCAACAAAGTGACTTAACTGGAAGATATCTAGCATTTATAAGATTAATTTTTTCCTGTCTGTAACATTCAGAAAGTATAGTGCTTGTCTCGAACAATCCAAGAGATAAGTGATGTGCTTAGGCACTCAGGATATCTGTTGTTTGTCTTGAAACATGTAAGAGTTAAACAGGATTTGCTGATGGACTAAAGAGATTGTCTCAGCAAGCCATCAAACTATTTTACTCCCCCTCCCAGCCCCTGCGATGTGTACCTGAGAAATGGGGAGTTCAGTGTGGGACATGCTGAGCTTAGAGACAAAAGAGCTCTACAGCTGGCACTGGGAACAGAATATCCAGTGATAATCAGGCCCTAATAATCTCATGAAAACCACCAATTTAGCAGGACAAGACAAAGAGTGCCAGTCTCAAGCCACCTCCTAGGACTGAACCTCCACTGCAATAAACTAATCCTGTGGTGCCAGTAGTCTCAACCCCCTGTTTTGCAATGGCTGATCTCATTAATTACCCAAACAAAGACTATCTGCAGGACATAGCCCTGGCAACATACCCCCTCCCTCCTATCTCAGAGGAGCACAGAAAAGATATAAGGATTTTCTCTTATTCAGGGAGAAAAGTGGGGGTGTAGTGGGCAAGAACTGTATAAAAATCTGGGACACTATGGGTGCAGGGAAGCACTTCCCCACCTGGAACCATTTCCCCACTGATGATGCTGCTGGACCGTCGTGGTAACTATTCTCTTGCTTGCTGCCCTCTGTGTCTCTGCTTTCTCCTTTGTTCTCTCTGTTTTCCTACCTGTCCTACCAGCTCTAGGAACTTTGTTGAGTTACTCCAGTAAAGTTTGTTGTGCATGTGATATCTGACCTCATTTGTGTCTTAATTTCACCATTTGGGATCACCTTTAAAACTTTTCTCAGGTCCTGCCGGACAACAAAGGGTGCAGCTGCTGTGCAGCTTATCCCAGGGGAGAGGAGGCAGAATCCAGCCTCACCAGCTTCCCACTGTGGTGAGGAGTGTCAGAAAGCAAGGGGGTTCTGCCCCATCTCTCCTAAGACCACACACCCGCCCCAGTGTCTATTTGTGCACCCAATGTTGTGTTATCTTTGTTTTGTCCTGGCAAGATCATAGAAGATTTGCCACATATCCGAATACTGGATAATGACACAGTCAAATGGTGAATGTTTGTCCCCTACAATCTTAAACGCTTCTTCCGTGCACTCCAATGCAGACAAAAGGCTTTGTCTTTTAGGAAGAAAGTTAGATCTTGTTTGAACTTTGATTTCTAAACAGCAAAGACTACGTGTTCATTAATTCTTAGCATTTAGCAGACACAGCAGACAAGATTTTGAGAGAAAATTTATAAATTTTTGTCAGTGACAATCATGTTAAACTTCCTATAACTTATTTTCTCAGCTATAGAAGGAAATAAAGGAAAGAGTAATGGCTATAACTGAATAATTATATTAGGGAAAAAAAAAATAAATACACTTACCCCATTAGGATAATGGTTAATGAGCAATTTCTGGCCATTATACATAGACACTAGTGTCATGCCATTTTTGAGATCTTTTGTCAACATGCGCTTGTTCACCATATGGTGGTGCAGAGCATTATATAGTTCAATATTTACATTGTCAACTAAATTCCTATGAATTTCCTACAGAAAAAAAGAATGTATTTAATTACAAGTTTCAAAACAGTCTTCCAGTTGGAAAGATGTACGTATTGCTCTACCTTAACATATGCTTTCAATATATTTAATAATGGATATTTCCTGTTAGGAGACACAGCTTCGAAATGGAAGGGATCTTGTAAGAGACAAATCATTGGAGGAGCTTTTAATCTATATTTATATAACTAAAAACATTACTAAAAGGACACCTGAATCACTGACAAAGCAAGATTATATTCTACATCATCAAATTGCTGGAATTCCTGTGTTTCCCCAAAACTATGCTAAATAACATTAATTATAGCAATATTTCTCATACAAATGTTTAAATAGGAAACATTTACAGTTGCTTGGTGCTCCTGAAAATAAATTCAGACTCTCTGACTTCAACAAGACATGTTAAACATGTACATTCTTTTCTTATAACTTGTGTAATGTCATTTTTTAGTCTAAAGTATCAGTATGGTTTCCAGCTCTATCTTACCATAGACTAGCTGTTGCAGCTAAAACATTAGCTGAAAGAGAAACATGCTTTAACATACACACACCCATTCACACCCACACCCACACCCAGACTTACTGAATCTAATTCCTCCCAGGCTTCATTGCTTGGTGCAAAGAAAGTGAACGATCCTCGTCCTTCAATCTCTTCTCTCAGCTTTGATATGTCAGAATATTGCTGTGTGGAGGTAGCTCCAACAATACCAAGTGTCCCATATACATGATCAATAGGAGCAACTAAAATAAATTTGAGATAAGAAACATGTAAACTCTTCAGTTATCCAATATCTCACAATCATATCTACTTAATTTATTTTAGTTGGTCAATAGTATTGCTTTTCTGAAACTGTTTAAATCAATGCTAAAACAATGTACTTGGACAAAAATTCCATTGTCAACATACTAAAAGCTATTCAAACAGATCTGTTTTGGTTTTGGTTTGATCTGGGTTCTTTTGCTTAATGGAAAATTAGATCAAGTAAAGCCAAATGTTGTTATGTTTTCTTTAGAAGAGTTATTTTGTTTTTTGACAACCCATCCTGAAATGGAAGGCTATCCATTGAGAACAAGGAGTAAATTCCATCTACAATCACAAAAATTTCAGTGGAGTTGGTCTCATTTGGTCATGGTGGGCCCATGCCAACATCATGAAGTTCAACAAGGCCAAGTGCAAGGTCCCGCACCTGGTTTGGCACAACTCCAGGCACAAATAGAGGCAGGAGCAGAAAGGCTAGAGAGAATCCTGAGGAGAAGGACTTTCGGGTGGTAGTAGATGAGAAGCTCAACATGAGCCACCAGTGTGTACTCACAGCCAAGTGGGTCAATGACATCCTGGGCTACAGGAGACCTGAGACCTTGTAGTGGCCTTCCAGTACCTGAAGGGGGCCTACAGGAAAGCTGGGGAGGGGCTTTTCACCAGAGAGGGGAATGACAGGACAAGGGATAATGGTTTTAAACTGAAAGAGGGGAGGGAGATTTAGGTTAGACATCAGGAAGAAAATCTCCCCCATGAGGGTAGCAAGATGCTTGAATAGGTTGCCTGGGGAGGTTGTGGAAGCCCCCTCCCTGGAGGTGTTTAAGGCCAGGTTGGATGAGGCTTGTGCAGCCTGGTCTAGTGTGAGGTGTCCCTGCTCATAGTAGGGAGACTGGAACTTAATGATCTTTAAGGTCCCTTCCAACCTTAACCATTCTATGATTCCATGATTCTAATTATTCTTGTGAGGCTTCTTGCTCTTCTTCTAATGTGTAATTTGTGGATATATTGAGTAAACATGACCATTGTTTTACTGTTAAAACACTGCTACCTGAGAACAGGATTTATGTCACCTAATTTTAGGCACCTCGAAGTGAGGCATCTGCATGTGAACTAGCTGATTTTGGCTCTTAGAGGTCATGGAGAGGAATGGGCAATTCTAAAATGTGACTGACCTCATGTTAATGTAAACAGCTGAAGTTAGATTAGTTAATCTAAACAAACTGAACTCTGCCTTAGATGTGCCTAACTCTATTATTGAGTGTAAAAAGATTACTTTGAATATAGGGATCTAAAATTATGAAATATATTCCTTCTCAGATTACTCTTCCCTGCTGCAAATAATTTTGTTTATGTGAAACAGAATGGCATCAACCAAGAATTCCTGCCTTGATCGTCACTCCTTCTTAATTTCTTTAAAGCCTGTAACACTATTTAGTAAATAAGATTCAAGTCTTCTCAGAAGAAGGAATAAACAGAACCGAGATACGCCACACTTCATGTCCTAGGTTTCTGACCTCACTGGTGTACTTTAGGGTATTTTAGGATGTGATGGGAAAAGGGATAAAAGTTCTTGTTTGACAGCTTTGGGAACTGAAAACACTATCACTTCTCTCCAACCCAGCAACTGGAAGGAGCTGGGAAATTCAGCCTCAACTGCATGATAAATTCACTGCCAGCTGATTTTTATCCGAGTCGACTGTATGCAAATGAAGCTGTGTATTCTCAGGCAGTAAATCCTAAAAAGATGCAATGATTTCTCAAGATGGCCACCTCTGAAAGTCTCCTGTGTAGTAATGCTTCTCATGTACTGACTCAGCCATATGAAAAGAAGCTTGTACCTGCAGGACATCCCCTTGTACCATCCATCTTCATATAGCCAGGACAGCACTCATATAGGACAGTTCTGTGGCATATAGACAAAAGCACAATTAAATAAAAAACAGGACAAGTGTTTACTAATTTTAGCTGAATGCAATTTTAATTTTTTATTTAAGATTAATCTTTCATTGCTAAATACACATTTTCCAGATATTCATCCCTTTTTTTAATAATTCAGCCTTTTCTCTACAGACTACAAATTGGTTACAGTTTACTAAATGCAGGGCTTTTGAAATTACAGAATGACTGCTTTCATTAACTGTAAGTGTTAGGAATGAACATCGAAGGGGATGTGGAACACATGTAAGATTATCGCAGGCAATGTTACTAGAACAGCAGATGAAGAAAATAAATTTAAGTCATCTTTTTAAAAAATATTAGATGGGACTGAAGAAAGAATAAAAAATAAAGAAAATGAGGACATTGGGAGAAGCTGGTGGCAGCAGGGTTGTAAAGGAAAAAGAAGAAAATTAATGAACTCAACATAAATTAAAATGACAAAACCATATGAAGACACCTATTGGATATTAAGCAGGTACTCAGGAGAAGGTCCTATGGATTATATGGTTATAGTGGAGTGGCAGAGCATCAGTTTATCAAGGAAGACTTTGAAGAAGTTCAGGAATGAGGGAGAGAAGCAACAAAGCAAATAATGGAGAAGGAAGTCACTAAAGACTGGATGGATAGAGACAAGGGAAAAAAAGCTCCCTGGTAACACTACACTCTACTGCAGTGAGGATGAAAACCAGACTGCAACAAATCAAACACAGAGAAGAGTATGTCATGACAGCATGCATAGGATTTAACAATACTGGGGACTGGGAACAGTCATGTAATGAACTTAACTGATTATTCTACACTGTAACACTCAATTTACTATTGATGGTCTTGTAAGATATAATGTCTTCTTAATTAATATTACAGAAAAAATTGATCTGCTTGAGAAACTCTCCTGTCTTACATGAATGTGCAAAATCACTAAAGATATCACAGAGTTGATTTTAGCTCCTTAGGAAAGGGAATGACAACAAATTTATACAAGCTTACCATGATCTAAAACATAAATTTAAAGACATTAGACTTAAGATAGTACTTTTCAAATTATAGTACACTGTGAATGGCAAGGAAAAATTGCCATCATGGTTTTACATAATAGATTTATTTTTATAGGTGTGGCTGATGTTGGCAGCGCTACAGCTAGAATTCCTTGAAGGTTTTTGCTGAGTATTTACGACTACATTCCAGGTTTTAATTTGTAGACTCTTTGGTGGCAGCTGAGTACACTTCTCTCATTTTTCATGAACTAAAGTTCACAAAACATTAATATGAACAGCTTATTCAAATGAAAAGCTGGACTTATAACCTTCAATATCAAAAATACTGGAGGAACAATAGCATTACAAAGCAAGATATTAAAAGTGAGGATTATAATTGCATAGTTGACAGCAGTCTGATAGACCTAGTGAAGATTAAAATTGTCTTTTTTAATTAAAAAGTCTTTACTCTCTGTGCTATGAAAAATGTTTTATCTCCACTCATTTACACATGCACACACAATTTCACCTTCCTGCCATGCACATCTTTTCAACTAAGAAACCATATAATGAAGTATTAGAATAGTTCTTTTTAATACATCTCTTTCTTTAAAACAATTCACTGAATGACTTTTTCTCAGGAATGCAATAGCATATAGCTTAGGTTGCAGATTTTCTAACTAATAAGGAAATTAACTTCATCCTCTTCCTTCTTGTTGCAATCCTGACAGAACCTAGTTAAAAAAAACAATCCAATTAATGAAAACTGTAGTAGCAGTCAGAATGTTCTTCCAACTGTGTAAACAGCTTTGTCATGAGAAAATATTTTTCCCTTCCATAGAAAAGAAAATATCCCTCTCTCACTCCATGAGCAGCTATGAAAGATTGCAGTTTTAATCAGCTTTTTGGAAAAAGGAAAGAAGAATCCGAGTATTAAGCACAGAATAAGACAAGGCAAATATAGTCTTCCTACCACATCCAACAATGACCCAATTAATGAAAGGCAGAAAATTGGCTGAAGAACACTGTTAAGAAAGAAAATGTTTCTTCAGCCAAGTACTACAAGATCAGTGCCTTTTCTACCATATAACTTGTTATTGTAGAGCCCAGACTTTTTTTCAGTCATCAAGGGTTACTGTACATTCTTACAGTGTTCATGTTCCCTTTCAGTTAATTGAAGTTATAAGTTCCATGTTGTCAGCTGGGCTCAAAACGTAGTGAGATAGATGGGAGAAAAGGAGTCTACATGGAGGATCCACCTGTTTAGAACCTGATAAGTTTAGAACCTGATAAAACTCAGTACAAGGTGCAGCTCCTCAGGTATTGACATGGCACCCAGGGGAAGTACCATCTCACACCATAAGTCATCTTTATCTGCATTTCCCTACTAGTTCAATATAAGATGGTGCTCGCGTGAATAAAGTAGTTACTCATGTAACAGGCAATGCTGCATTTTTAAGGTTTTGGAGGGTTTTTTTGAGTTTGGGGTTGTTTGCTTGTTCATTTGGATTTTTTTTAACATGGGGTTTTGTTGGGTTTTTCTGGTTTTTTTTTTTCTTGATTTTTATTTTTTTTAATTTTTGTTTATAATAAAGTTTTTCTGATCTCATCCAATGGAGTGTATTCCAAAGCAAAAAAAAAAAAAAAAAGAGGCAGAACTACATTACCTTATGTCCTTGTCATCTTGGCTAACAGAGCCAATTTTCAGTTTATTCAGGTCAGCTCTGTGACTCATCTGTTTCTACTCCTTGCTAGCATGGAGAAAAAATACTGCATAGAAACAGTGGAAAGACTTCTGGTTCCATAGACTGATTTTAGCAAAACTGTAAGTTGCATCCCTTTTGGAAATTCACAGCAGTGGAGAGGAAGAGTAAGTAATAAAACATCCTTAAATTAACATTTCATAGATCATATATACAAGTTAGGAAGGACTTATTAACATGGAGACATTAACATAAGAAAAGCCATTGTCCTTGGGATTAGCATTCTTATTAAAGCAACCTTGTTAGTCATGTCTGCATTTTGGTTTTGAGTACACAGAGTATGAATCTCCTATTAACAGCTAAGACTAAGTTGTAATAGATGCTCTATTACAGCCACAGAAAAATAACAGGAGACTTAACAGTCTCTCTTAACAGGAGACTTCTGAGACTTAACTTACTCTTATACATAGTGTACCTCCCTCTAGCCTTGCTCTGTGAGTGTTAAAAGAGGAGTGAGAAGGTAGATGATAGTTTTGTGTAGAATCTCATGCCCAAATCCACTCAGCCACACCACTCAATGTCTTCCTCCAGTTGGCTGTAGCAGGCTTCTTGCTTAGGGCCTCACACAGGCTCTGTGAAATGTGTTACAGCTTATATCACTCTAAATTTCAGTCAATGAAGAGAACAAAGTCACCACCTGACTTTAGTTTGATGAGTCCAAACTATCTATTGCTTCAAACAGTTTTTCCTGACACTGAATGTATCTATCACTGCGTAACTCATTTCCCTTGTGGAGCTCAGCAAAATAATGAATTCCCTGTCAGATCTGTGCTAAGAGCAGACTTTCTGTCATGGGAAGACATGACATCTATCGAGGAATAAAACCACAGGAGTAGGTTGTTTTCCAAAATGGACTTTTAGAATACCCAAGCTTCAGTCTAAGTAATTTTCAGTGTGTATGTAGTGGAATAAAATGCAGTGCCAAAAAGTCAGTGGTATGGCAGACTTTACTCAAAAGGTGAAGTGTTTTGGATGACTTGCAGCATGTCCACTGTAGAGAAAGGGAAGTCAGTATTACAATGCCACCTGGAGGAGAAGGAAAGATGCTGATAAAATATATAAACCTATGGGTCCTGAAAACATTGAACGTTGAGGTGACATAAATGACTACACAGTCTAGTTTGACTGGAAACTGATCATTATTACCATTATCATATCCATAAAAATCTACACTATGTAAGAAAAAAACAGGTTCTTGCAGCCTGGATTTGCTTTGAAAACAAAGCCAAAATCAAAATGGGAGAGACTGGTCAGGATTCCAGTCAATTGCATTCCAAAGAAACTGCTGAGGATTTAGAATAATCAGATTGCTTGTCCGGGTGGAATGATCATTATGATTTGTGCTACGCCCACTCTAATTTACTGTTGCTACTTTCCTCCACCTCCTTAGAGGAAGTAAGTAATTAGTAATCAATAAAGTTTACAATATCAGAAAGCTTATGGTGACAGCTTGGCCCAAAGAAATAAGGCATTTTCCCCAGCTCTGGTGGGGTCATATTATCATTCCTTGTGTCTAGACTGACTTCAGAGTTGAGACTTCAAAGCCATGGCAGTGCTCGAAAGGCAAGACTGTGTGTTGGAATCAGTTTCTCACTGTATCGGAAGTATAACTCAGCTCCAATAATTTATGATATGCTGGCAGAGTACTGAAAACATTTTCTCAGAAAGAAAATGGAAGAAAATTCCCTCTTACTACATCTTCCCTCAGTCTTTTTCCTAAGGATCTTTTCCAACACTGTGTTATGACATGTAGTATCTTTCAGGAATCTCAACATTTGCAAAACCTCCAAAACCCCAACAGGAGCAGTAGAAGCCACAGTCCAAACCCATGTCAGGTCCTTGCCTAACTACTGTCTGGTTTACAAGTCTGACTTACACAGTGCAAAAATTGTTACTGGAGGCATTTTTCTCACGTAAATGACCATTTGGAAGTCTTAATCAGTTTTACTTTTTTATTAAGAGGGCAATCAAACACTGGAACAGGCTTTCTAGAGAGGTGGTCAATGCCCCAACCCTGCTAGTGTTGAGGGGCTTCTGGACAATGCCCTTAATAACATTTTAACTTTTGGTCAGCCCTACAGTGGCTGGGCAGTTGAACCAGATGATCATTTTATGTGCCTTCTGACTGAAATAGTCCCTTCTATTCTACCTTAGTAAGTATAGGGATCATGCTCAGGGAAAAAAAAAAAAAAAAAAAAAAGTATGTATATGAACAAAAGCTACAGGTGGCTTTGGAGATAAAAAAAAGGCAAAAGTATACTTTTTTTACTATTCAAATTCTGTTAAATATTACTTAGGCATTTAGAAGAGTTTTATGGGAAGAGACTCCTAGTATCCTAAGACAGCATTTCAATTGAAACCTGGAATCCCTGTTTACTCAAGCCTTTCTACCAGTGTCACCCCAGACCTATTTGGACCTGTCAGACAGAGAATAACAGGAAAATAAAAATAATAATTTCCTGTGACAAATGCCAGGAAACGTATCCAAGAAATTGCATAATAACAAGGGAAAATGAAGTACACTGGAAAAATATTAGTTTATTTTATTGGGTAAACATAGTCAGTCTCTGTTAAATTACTCAATACTAAGTGAGACAAGTGGAGCAGACCAG